TTTTCAACTTTCGAAATTAATCTTTGACTTAAACGAGATAAAAAAAAAATTTCACTTTTCTTTCTCTCTCTCTCTCTCTCTCTCTCTCTCTCTCTTTCTTTTTATTTTTGAGATAGAAAAAAAAGAAAGAGAGAGAGAGAGAGAGAAAGGCGCCAATGATCTGGCTCGTCGCGTTTTCACCGATTAATTAACGCGCATTAACTTTCGTCCTGATTCCGGCAGGATTCAGGAAATTAAATCGTCGCTTGATGGTTCGATCGTGAGAAAAAACGAATGAATGATTTAGAAAAAGATAAAACGGAAGAGAGAAAGGATGAGAGAGTGAAAGAGAGATAGAGAAAGAGAGAGAGAGAGAGAGAGAGAGAGAGAGAGAAACAACATTGAGATTCGAACAAGTGAAAAAGGGACTTGTAAATTGTGCTAAGTTAAGGGGACCTTCTACTCTGAGCACCTAAAAAAAAGGCAATTTTCGCGAATTTTTTCCAAGAAAACTATAAAAGATATCGATCTAAAAGTTGTTGGGTTTGTTAAATTNGGCCGATTAATGGGCCCAGCAATGGGCCACGTATTATTCAAATTATTAGCCCATTAATCTTGTGTTCTTCTATCTATCTCTTTCTTTATCTTTATCTTTTTCACTTTTTGCACAATATACAAATTTTGTATATATGTATATGTATTTTTTGTTTGTCACACGTATATAAGAATTACATTTATATAGAATATATAATATTCTATGCATCTTGTTTTTCTTTCTCTTTTTTTCTACGTAATTTAAATACATTATAGAAATTTTATATATAAATATATAATAATAATTATAATAATATATATATATATATATAATATAATATATAAAATAGTATAAAATAAAATAATATTTATATATATAAAATATAATATATAATAATTATAAATATAAATATATATAAATATTTTACATATATAAAATAATAAACCTTATTGAAGTATAATTATTTATTTCTATCGTGGTTGAATTATAAAAAGTTTATGATGTTATTGAAATTAATTTTGTTTCGGTGAAACTAAATTTTATTTAGAAAAATAAAAAAATTTATATATATATATATATTCTTGTTTTTTTCTACCAAAGAAAATAAAAAATATTACAAGTATCTGATAATCAATAAGCTTCGATACATGAGAGATAATAATTATTCTTTTTAACGATATTGATTAATTGATTCGTTAATATTCTAATAGTAACAACAACAAAAGGAAACATCTTTAATTGGATATTATATTTAAAAACAAAACAAAACAAAAAAAGATACAAGAAAAAACATATCTGTGTTTGGTAATAAAATACTATTCGTACATATACATATATATTCCAATAACGGTATCGATAAATTGTATCATTAATTTGTAACAAAATCAAATATTTTTTTTTTTTTTTTTTTAACGATATTGTTAAATTGATTCGTTAATTTATTTTTTTTTCTTTTCTTTTTCTTTTTTTTTAAACAGAAACAACAAATATGATACATACTCTAATTGGATATTACGTCGAGAAAATATATACACGTACGGAAATGAATATAAATTCGAAAGTGTATTAATGATTTTGAACAATTTATCAATGATTATAAAATAGCAATATTGATTGTTTGTTTCGCTAATTAACTAATTAATTAATTAATTAATACTTATTTTATTTTTTTATTTTTTATGAAAAGCAGACATTAAGATATTAATAATAAAATAATAGTAATCATTCATTTCTAACTATACTAATTTTTTATACAAACATTACGTATAGAAAATTCATATTAAAAATAATAACAATATAAAAGAAACAATAAAAAATAATAAAAAGAAATAAAATATTTCAACCATAACTATCAAGAAAACAAATTATAAAATGAAATTATTTTTATTGACGTTACGACGAATCTATTAGTTGCAATTTGCTACTCATCGATGATATACATATTAACATACACATATATACATATACATATACCTATATATGTATTAGGAAAAGAGGAAAGGGGAGGAAGCCCGATGAAGTGACCGATTGAATTTCAATATTAATCGAGCTTGGTCGTGTCCAACAGCTTCCGTTCGATCTCTCGATGGTTTGCCGCTCGTTTGTAGAATTAAAAATTCAGAAAGCCAAATTGGCCACGCCTGACAAAACAATACCATTAAATGTTCTTCCTGACCCTTTTTGTTAACTAAAATGTATAAACTAACACATACTGCCATATACATCTACACCCACTCACCTACATCTACACAATTATGTATACATCCATAACATATATATACATACACGTATACGTATGCAATTATGCACATGTGCATACACATTTATGGTAGTTACGTGCATCCTTGCACGTATTGTACTTAAATTCATACATACATACATAGATACATACGTACAATTATACACGAGTATATGTACACATTTATAATCACATATGTTACTTGTACATACATACACAATTATTACATATATTACATACATACAATTATATACACGTATCCATACACATTTAAAATCACATACGTTACTTCTCTACATACTTATACAATTATTACACATATTACATACATATATACATACTAAAAGTAATATGTTACACAAACAAACATTGAAATTCATACGAATAAATATTTATACAATAAAACACTGACGTATAACTGTGAACGAAGAAATGAATTATGAGAAATAGTTGAAAGGGTGAGAAAGGGGTTATATGTGGAATGAAGAAAAGAGGAGTGAGTGGGTCGAGGAGGGAGAAGGGGGTTGGTTAGTTACAAGCATACATTCCAAAGCTAACTGTGGTTGCCATTCTCGGTAATTCAGTTTGAAATCACCTTCCAATTTTCGCATGAACAATCGTGAAACCCGTACAATTGTGTGTTACTACTTCGTTTATGAAATGATCATGGTGTTGTGTGCCTGTTTCAACCCCCCATGCCATTGTTACGAGCTTTTATCGATACCAACCACCCACATACATACATACCCCTTCCCTAGGGTTCAGATCTCTTTCGATTGCTAAATTATTTCATGCCAGTTCTTTTGACTATAGTTCAGAGTAACCTTTTCTACCACAATTCCCTGTTTACCCATTCGATTTTCTCTCTTTGTTTTCAATTTTTCGATTAATTTCATTATATATATATATATATAAGTATTTAAACAGTTTCGAACAAAAATATTGGAAATTTCTATTATTTTTGTATTTGTAAAGTTTTCTTTTTTAATTTAAATACGATTTTTCTATATTCAACTTTTATTTAATTTATCATTGAAATGTTAATTAGTTTTATAATTATATTTTTTAATTAATTATATATATATATATAAGATTTATTGATAAAATATAATAATCTTATATATAATAATATTAATATAAATTAACAGTATTATTAATATTAATATTATATATGGTATATTATAATATATTATTATAGTATATTATCATATATTATTATATATTATAATATACTTATAATAAATTAATAATATATATAAAATTATTATATTTTATATAAAATTAAATTGATGTATTTCTCTAAAAAAAAAATTATGATAAAAAGAAAATATAATGGTTGAAAAGAATATTTAATTAAAAAATACGAATACATCTAATTAACTATTCCATAATTTTACACGAACAAATTATTATATCTAAACCCTTTTTTTTTTTTTTTTTTTTTTTTTTTTTAGATTCGAGAGATATACTCAAAAGAAAGAAACAAAATAAAATAATTTCAATATAAAGAGTTGTTTCTATTTTTTTGTTTTTTAATCTGGACTCAAATACTTATGTTCAACATTACATATATATACATATGTATTTAAAATATATTCTCTCTCTCTCTCTCTCTCTCTCTCTCTCTCTCTCTCTCTCTCTCTCTCTTTCATANCTCTCTCTCTCTCTCTCTCTCTCTCTCTCTCTCTCTTTCATACACGCACACACAAACATACTTTTTCTCTCTCTCTCTTTTTTTTTCAAACGAATGCGAACTCCGAGTGAACGTTCGTTCGCTTTTGTTCTTTCAAATGAAAAATCGTTAGAAATTTTATACTACGTATTCGTGAATAAAAAATAAAAAAAAAAAACAAATGAAAAAAGAGATAGAAGGAGAGAAGAGAAGAGAGTAGAAGAGAGGAGAGAGAAAGAGGAATAAAATTCGTTTTAATTTACATTGAAATTTCGAAGCATCGCGAGTTCCTTTTTAAGCTTTCCTTACTAAAAACGGGCTCGTGTAGTTTATGCTAATATTTCTCGTCTACTTTGCCTAGGGTTTACTCTTAGCAGCGACAGCTGATAAAAATGACATCCTTTTAACTTTTCCTTTTTTTTTTCTTTTTTTTTCTTCATTTTAAAATAACAAATAAAAATACCGAAAGAAATAAGAAAAAGATATAAAGATATATTAATATAGTTGAATAGCAAAATTTGTTAACAAAAATAATTCCAATATTATTTGACAACCCAATTTAAAGAGGATTATTTCATCGAATTAATCGTTACAAATAAATTTTCATAATAAAATTTATCTTCTATATAACGTTTAATTATTTTATTATTCTTATTATAAAATATTATTATTATAAATATGTGGTATATTGTTTTATGATTGCATGCGATGTATTCGTAGAAAAAAAATTCGAATTATTTACTGGAAAGGAGATTATTATTATTATTATTTTAAATATTTACACGGTATGTGTGCGGATAATATTTGAATAAACTTCCAATAATCATATTGAGGATCGATAGAAAACAAAAAAAGAACAAAAAATTTGGTAAAATTTAAAATTCATAAATTAAATATTATTTTTCTAATGCGATTATTTCATTGGATTTGAATGATAAAATGTGTTGTTTGATTTTTATCTCATTTATTAAATTTATTAGGACAGAATATTTATTAATTCTTCATTTAAGAAAAATGAAAAACGAAAGAAATCAAACTTTGAACTAATGATTTCGTTTTTTTTGTGTGTGTTACAGAACTCATCTAATCAAGTTGCGATACCAGGTCAAAATCAAGTTTCCTCTCAAGCCGAAACGCAAGGTGGACCGAACACAGTATTAAGAGTAATCGTAGAACATATGATTTATCCAATATCCCTGGACATATTGTATCAGGTAAGTGTCCTATTAATTATAATAAAAAAGAATTTTTAATTTACACGTTACACACCTTATTACAAAACAGTCTTCCATTTAACACACTTCTGGTTTTATATTTTAGTATTTTTTAAATTCTTCATAACTCTAAAATAATAATAATTATAAATATTATTTCATTTATATTCAAAAATAATTATCTTTTATTTAATTAATTTATATCAACGTACCCTAATTAATTTATATTTTAATTTATTATTAAAATAATTTATATATATTTAAAAATAGTTAATTATACAAATTATCAATAGGTTTAATTTTATTATTAATAATAATTGAAACAATTTATTTATTAGCCCCAAAATATCATTTTTTACATGAATTATTTGTTATCACAAATCTTGTTATTTTCAACCAATAAAGAAAATACACAATAGTAATAATAATAGTAATAATAGTAATAGTAATAGTATCAGAGACTAGGATCGTTTGTTAAACTTGTCTGATGGTTCAACCGAGTTTTCTTCATCCTCTTTTTGTTATTTTTATTTTTTTTTTCTTCTCCTTCTGTTAGTTAATTGTCCGTAGTGACCAACAACGATGAATCATTGTCCGTGAACTCTCGCGTCCGATATTGTTAATGTTACTAGAAATAAAGTTTCTTATCGGTGTAGAATGTCAAAAGGAATCCTTGCAAGAGTAACGATGTTACTTGTTTCAAAACTCACGAATAACTATTCAAATGTTCATTTAACATTATTGTTTCTTTTCTTTTTTTTTTTTTTTTTTGTTTTTGTTTTTTTCATTAATTTCAACATACATATTATTTACATTTATTTCGATCATAATTATTTATTTGAAGTAAAAGAAAAGAATCACATTTCACGATATTATTGACGATGAATACGATGAATAATTTTATTATTTAATTGATAATTAATTTAACATCAAATTAAGGATTGAATTTAAGTAAAGGATAAAGTGTACTAGTTACAATTATTACTATAATTAAAATTTAAAAAAATACACTTCTGTTATTTATTCATTATTTTAACAAATTTACATTGAACTATTAGCTTTTCAAAGTTACTGTAATAAATTATCGATTATTTCAAATAATGTTTTTATATATTATATTAATATAATATAA